TAACCGTACCGTTACCTTACTTACGTTACGTAACAAACGAACGTACCTCCGCACGACGACACGTAACGAAGAGGTAGGAAGGAACGAACGACGTACGCGTCCTCCCTCCCTCCCCTCCCCTTCCCTTCCTTCTCTCTCTCTCCTCTCTCTCTCTCTCTCTCTCTCTCTCTCTCTCTATTATGAATATTACACAATATATAAATGCTAGACTTTCAATTATAAGTCCATGTGTCTTGCTTTATATGTTATTATATGATTTCAATATTTTTTTAAGCATTTAAATTGGAGTCGAATAAATAAAATTAGCATTATTAATAACCACTTTACATTCAGTATTTCAATACTAAGCAATGTTGCGAGGCTACACATGGTGTAAGATCACTTAAGCAGTCTTTTCACATAACATATGAGCAAGATAAAGAAACCAAGGCAGTTTACGCCACCACAAATATAAGAAACATTATTCTATGGGAATTTAAATAATTTCACATAACATATGAGCAAGAATAAGAAACCAAGGCAGTTTACATCACCGCAAATATAAGGAGCATTATTCTATAGGCATTTAAATCAAGCAAAAAAAAAGTAAAAATAACATTACTAATAACCATTTTGCAATCGGTAGAACAGTACTAAGCAATGTTGCAAGGCGAGACGTCGTCCAAGTTCATGTAAGCAATTCACACAATTATGAGCCAGGTAAAGAAACTATAGCAATTTACATCAATGCAAATATAAGAAACATAATAAAGATAACTAAAAAAACACAATCTCATTAAATTCCTTCTAAAATACATGCCTTATAAATAATAATACCCCCTTATAATACACATGTCACCTAATGCTATGGTTTGGGACCTTAAAGCATGATATCCACAAGAAAATAAGACATTACTTTTGTGGTTATATTTATAAGAAACCAATGTTTTATACGGTGTAGATAATTCAAAACCCTGACGAAACGAGTTCCATTACATGTAGAATATCGTGTATCATTTAATATGGAATCAAGATTTAAACCTCATTGGAAGCCAGATTCAATCTATTTAGAAGCGTCTACCCACAATTAAGGGGTTCACGTTTCTCTAGATCTGTTGGATTGATATTCCGAAATTAAGGAATCGATATTCCAAAAGTAAGGAATCGAGTTTCCTTGGTTCCGAAAAATATTTTTAAAAGAAGTGTTGAATCGAGATTCTAAAATTAAGAAATTGAGTTTCCTTGGTTACAAAAATAGGTTTCCACATATGTGAAGAATCGAGATTCTGAAATTAAGGAATCAAGTGTCCTATGTTGCAAAAAAAAAGGTTCCCACCTAGGTACGGAAACGAGATTCCGAAATAAAGGAATCGAGTTTCATTAGTTCAAAAAAATGGTTTCCGTGGAGTTTCCTTAATGAAAACACGGAAACGGGTTTCGAAACCGGAATCGCAAGGTCCGAGGAGAGATTCCGGTAACTACGAGCTGGACCTACTTTAACAAGTGTAGTGTTTAGTGTATAGGGCACTATTAGACAAACCAAGATTATCAGATGATGGAAATATACGTAAATCAAAGGCACGACTAGAAGCAACAAGAAATTCTAGGCACATCAGTGTTTTCTCTTGAAGATGAAAAATACATAAGCATGATGTATCAATTTGTGAAATGCAAAGAAGAAATTACCTAAATCCAGTAACAATACATGCACTCAAACATTTCATCCTGAAAATGAAAGACTTTACACACTAAAAATAGTTGTCCTTAAGTTCCAGATTACCATAGGATATCATTCCTAAACATATAATGAACTCCCAATTATACGACAATGCCTACTTAGGCAAAGGAGCATTTTCGAACTATCTTCCATGTCAGTAAAACCATATTCATTTCCATGCAAAAGAAAGGCTTACAGTGAAGTATGAGGCTTACAGTGAAGTATGCAGGTATTTTGGGTATCACAATCTTGAACTGTTTAGGAGCCTCTCCCTATAAGCATAACTCCATTATTATTTTATCAGAATATAAACTTGGAAAAATTGATAGAACTTGATAAACAATTGAAGCATCAGTTATTCATGGATAACCTGAAATCATTATTCCACTAGATAAACATATGGCTGTATCCTATAAGAGAACATTATCAAAACGTTGACTTTCAACCCTTAAAAGTTCAAATTATATGTATAATATATAGAAAATTACAAACTAATAATTCAATCTAGACAAGAAACTATAGCATTCAGTGATTAACTCAACAAAAGAAATAGTACACAACTAAGGAGCAGTGCAGCAAAGATAAAGACACTTCAAAAGAACAATTGTTCTTTCAAATAAACTTAGCCTGTCCAAAAAAAACTACAGTACAAAAACGATTGGAGAATTCACATCAATGTTTGATTCCATCGCTGGGGGAAGGTACCAAATTGACTCTCACAAAGTCCTGCCCAACCTCGAAAAAAGTGGACAAAAATTGACAAAAAAAAAGTAAAAAAAGGAGAAAATTATTAAAAATCAAATAAAATCTTTATATAAATCATTAAATGGGAAAAAAAAGTTTATGTTATTGGCTAGAAAAATCCAAAAATCCCCAAAAGGTAAAAAACACAAATAAAAATTAATAAAAATCACGAAAACATAAAAGTATATGTAGGGGTTCCCTGGGATGCTCTGTGGGAACATTGGGGTGGCAGGTATATGGGGGGCTCCTTAGAAACCACGAGGGTGACACCTTATCGTCCTTTATCAAATAAATAGGTATCTCAGACTCTGCCTCTACAAAATCTATAACCATTTTGGAAGGGCTTTGGATGGTATCGTCCTTAGAATTTAGAACTATGGTCATCATGGTGGAAGAAGATAAAAGTATGTTATCGAATGGGCATCACACAAGGTTGAGAGCCATTGGCGTCTCCACCAAATATTTGACAATATACACTCTTTGCGCATGGATCCCAGTGGTTGGCCTACCGCATAGACATGCTAACTAGGTTCCGGAGTCTTTGGCCATGCCAGCGGCATTCATTCCAGCCAATGAACGAAACAACAGCCGCCTTGCCGCCAAGGCAGCTTTTTCTCAAACGGCATAAAGGCACCTACCTAGGCGCCACCTCGCCCAATAAAAGGAAAAATAACTCAGGAAATAGATTACCCCCTAAAAAAGGGGGGAAAGGTGTTTTGGGAGTCATTCCTGCTCCCAAAAACATTGTTAGTGAAGTTTAGAGTACGAAAAGACTTAAAAAATAAGATTTTGAAGATTTGTAGAGAGATCAAATTTTTTTTCGACCTCCTCGAATGGTCACGAAATTAAAGGATATTTATCCCCAATCTTTTTGAGGCTTTTAGTGGTTGTTAAAAAGGAGATATTGGAACCAAAACAGTTGGATTTGGCCCGATATTGATTCCACTTCAAGAAGATTGGTACATTTTCAATAGTTTTTATTATGGGTTATGTATTTGCTTTTTCCACAATGTCTTATGATGTTATTTTTTGCTATTTGTATTTTTTTGTGATACTTTATGCTATATATTTGATATGTTATTAACCATTTGCATTATTATTTTCCCAATTTGATACGTAGTTTGGTTCTTTGGGAAAGCAATTAAATAAAAAAGTCCGTTGGCCCCAAATCGTATGAATATTGTTTTTTTACCTTTTTCTTTAGTTTTATTATGTTTCTTTTGAGTTTCAACTATTTAATTTACAGTCTAAAATCATAAATATTTATGTTAGATCTGTACTTCTGACTTCTTCGTTGCAAACAATATATTACAAAACTTACTTATTGAATAAAACAAAGTCATTTCTATATACAATGAAATGGGGGGAGGTGTGGGGGGGCAAAAAATCCACAAGGATTTGCACTTCCCCAAAAGACAGGCCACCTTTGTCTTTGGGCTTGAGCGCACACCTCGGCGGCCGCCAAGGCACCTAGGTGACCTAGAGACCAAACCGACTAGGCGACCGCCCCAGCATTTTTTAACATTGACTGTAGTCAACACCGCAAACCAACAACCCCACTTCTTCAATCCTGCTTTTCTCTCAGTTTCAACTTTTACCTTTTCTTAGCTTTTTATTTTTTCTACAATAGTCACGAGCACCCATTTCCTCAACTACCTACACTCTCCCGATCCCACACTCCATGTCTTTACCATGGCCCCACCTACACAAGGTTCCTTTAGATGTTGTCAAATCTCTCACTTTGCTTCAGCCCTAGCCGCAAGCAACATCACTTCTTTCATACCTTCGTTCTTGTCCATCATCTCTCAACTGCTCTCAACTCTTAGCCCCTCACCTCGGCAACCTCCCGTTACAGCTCTATTCTCAGGGTTCTCATTCTGTTACTGCTCTCACTCTTAACTTCTCATCTCGGTAACCTCCTGCTACTGGTCTCTTGAGTATAGGAGAAAAACAGAAAGGAAAGAAAATAATTAGAAAAAGAGAAAAATCAAAAATAAAAAAGGAAAAGAGGAAAAAAAAAGGAATAGAAAGAGGAATAGATCAAAAAGAATGATAAAACAAATAAGAAAAAATAATACAAAAATATTTTAGAGGGTTATAGGTGCTTGTACAGCCCACACCTATTGTCTTGGGGTGGAAGCTGCAAGCCTTGGCCAAGGGCTGCAACCATCCTCTACATCAGGAGTGCACCTCGCACTGCACATGCCCTTTAACCCTCACAGCATATCTCTTCTACACCCCAGAGGATGCTTTATGACATAACCCGTCGTGTGGCTCATTTTGTCCCTCTATTTCTCTCTTTCTCTCTTTTACTCTATGTCTTTTTACACTCTCTGTTACTGTAATTTCTCTTCTTTCATCGTAAACTCACTTTACATGACTAGTGCACAGTGCACAGCACACACCCTTTCTTCTACACCTCCAAAGGAAGTCTTTTGACATAGGCCATCTAGTGGTTTAACATGCCCCTATCTATCTTTATTTTGTCTACTTCTCTTACTCCTTTTACCTCTCTCTTACTCAGTACTTTATCAAAAAAAAAAAACTCTTACTCAGGTCATTTCACTCTTTCTCTGCAAACCCTCTTCCTTACTCCTCTCTTTATTTTTATCTTTCATCCCCCGTCTCCCATCTCAATTTTTACCCCTAACGATTACGTATTACCCTATTGAATAGAGCTTCTGACATGTGGGTAGCCATTCGAGTGACGTTTGTAACCTTTTCAGATCACAGGAAACTTTCATCCTCATCTAGTCAACCCATGATCCTTCGCATCGACTGAGTATCAGGTAAGGCTGTTGAACAACAAGATGTACTACATCAGAATGTCTACCTTTGGAACGATAGCCTCAGTGTCTATGCATCTCTTTCTTCTGCCCTTCTTCTCCTCTTTTCTACCTGACGTGCTCTTATTCTCCTCCTTTCCACCCCAGGTATGTACTCTTAATCGATCATCTCCATCCTAACTTCATCTCCCCATGACCAACCACTCATGATTACCTTGCATACAGGAGCGTAGACGAATTTTTTGTAACTGGTTCATTTGTACTTTGTGTTTGTACAGGGCCCTCTATGCACATTTATTTATAGAAGTTCAATACCCTTTTGTTGGGTCTATATGAACCCTCTTTTGTATAGATTTCCCACCTGTGGGAAGCCATTTCTTATTATGTATCTATCATACTTTAATTAATACATTCACCCAAAAAAAATACTTTAATAAATACAGTCAAAAGTATATGTAAAATGAGTTCTAAGTCAATTACAATTGTATAAATGAATTTTATGAATTTAAATTGAAGAAATAAAACATACCCAAAATTTTGCGGCCAATCACAGGATCTTTGCGCTCGGGGCAAATCGAAGCCAAAAATATTTGTCAAAGCTTCCTCACACAATCCCAATCAAAACAACCAAATCAGATTTGAGTTTTATGTTCAGATCTAGGAGATCCTAGCTCTTGAAAAATATGGATGATAGTAAATCGAAATTTGAGATCTCTCAAATCATAATATTTTTGTGAAATCAAGCCTATAGTTGGATGGAAAACACAAATAAGCTTGGGAATCAAATTCCATCGAAGATCGACCATCTATTCCAAAGACATTGCAATTTTTCATAATCAGGTAAAACTTTGGCCGAATTTTTTATCTTATTAAATCTGATGACTTCTTCTCAAATTTAAAGTTTTTAATAGATAGCTCAGCCAAAAGTCTTGTTGAATGCACAAATTTCGCTCAAATCACAGCCTAAAATGAAAAAGAATGGGGGAACAGATTTCTGGGCCCCCTTTTAAACTGATTATACCTACTCATCCATTTACTGTATAAGCTTGGGGTAGTAAATCCAAGGTCGTACAGTACTCGAGAGAGTCTGTACATCACTCCCGAGCATTGTACAGGGTACATATCTATCCTGTGACTGGACGCTGAGCCTGAGTAACTTACCCTAGTCCAATTTGATTCCCGCGAATTTTCAAATACTGCTTGGAATGAATGCTAGGCTGAATAAAAGAGTGATCTTTCAATGCATCAATGTTGTGCATGAGGCACCAGTAAGGTCAAGTCATAGTGGCATAAAGGTTTCATGGAGTAAGAAATGCGGCTTTCAGTAGATGGAGGAACAATCTGTGAGTAATGTGCTAGGGTTTTGATGGCTTCCTCACCCCCTATTGGTGTTCCTCTCCCTATGGAGGGGAAACCTCCTAATCCTCGGGAGCTTCTTTCTCGCTTCTGCAATTGTAGCCTTGCTTATTGTTTCTGCTCGTATTACCTTTGTTTCTTATGGTAATACGACCAGATCTGCTCGTATTACCTTTGTTTCTGATGGTGGTCATCATCTCAGTAATGATGGGGATGGATCTGGTTATGATCCACTAATTTATAGTCACAAAAATTTTGGTGGAGATGGATTTGGGTCCAAAAGATCTGCTCTTTTGCATGTGGATAATATTGATAATCAAAGATCCTCTTTTATTGGTGGTGATCATCTTGAATCTGATAATGCTCTTTTGCATGCGATTGATATT